CCTATGGGACAGAAAAAAAATTTTTTTTTTTAAGAAGTTTCTTATTTACTGATGAATATGATATATTCCTTGCACTCAAAACATAAAACATTACAATGCAAACTAGCAGTCACTTAAAGCAAGGGCTAGACTGTAACTATTTAGCAAACCTGCTTTTCCTTGCAGCCTACCAGTAAACTTCTGCTTTATCTTCAGCACTCCAGGTAGGCTTCTCCATGTGAAGATAAGATTAGTTTTCTTAATTTCCCATAGATAGAAAAGATGCAACCCACTTGTACTACAAACTGTGCTGCTTTAAAATAATAAAGACATTAAGTTATGAAAGGAGGTGTAGTCCGTATCATTGAAAATGTTGCTTAAGAAACAAACTTGCAGAATTTTACAAAAATGCATTAATTTTGAGAGAGAGAGTGATGTTTCTGGTTTTGTTTGATGGTATCATGTAATGGAGTGTGACATGATTATCCAACACTTAGCTTCTTGATATTAGATGCTGGCATGTGGGTTATTAGTGACATGAGGTGTGAATGCAAAAGTACTCACACAGACAGTAAAGCACGGGGGAGATGAGGGAGAATGTCAAGACAGTTTGTGCGGCTTGTCCTTAAATAACGAGAAAGAGAAGGAGAGCTCAGGTGGAAAATACGGTTTTGGTTTCACAAACCAAGCGAAAACTCCTTGACTCACAAATAAGTTTTTTGAGGAAACAAACTGGAGATGGGTATTACAAATACAATCTTGGGCTCAATTTATGAGTGGTTCTAATGTAGGCTGGCACCACTGTTAAAAGTTCTGTAGGATACAGCAATGCAGATACATTATAAAAAAGATGATGATTGTGAACTTCTGGATGGCTTGTGTATGCAAGGGGCAAATAGTTTGGGTTTGGTTTTTTTTTTTTTGTTATCACTCACACTGTCATATAGACAAAGTATTTCTGTAATCCAAAACCTACATTAACTAGGCTCTCGTACTTATTAAAGAACAGCAAGTATTCCCTTAGTGTAATCAAAGAAGCATTTAAAAAAAAAAACCTTTTTAATAAAACTAAAAATGATACGGTCTGGGTAAGTCTTTCATTAAGTAAAGATGCAGTTCTTTGTATCTGACCTACCTTGCTGATGCTAGCATCTCACCGGGAAACTCTTCTGTACTCTCAGTACATAGTCCTGTTTTAACTGTCTTACCTGTGAGGTGTAACAAAGTACAATGCTAATTATCTTACACTTCTTTGGAAAGCAACGTCTAAGATATGCTGCTAATAGAGCCTTATGCAACTTTTAAACAAAAAAAAAGTTTTATTGCTATAGTAAGTAAGTGTCCTAATAAACATCAATTTAGTGTGCAATTTTCTCTCTGGTAGATCTCCCTCAGCTCCAAAAATAATGCAGACAACAGGACAATAGAGCTGCCTCAGGGAACTGCCACCTTACTTGAAATGCATGAGCACAGGTAAATACCTGAAACTGAGGCCACAGAACAAAGCCCGCTCATTTTGTTCATGTACAAAGCCAGCACTGGGAACCAGTTGTGCCTCAAGTAGTGCCACATGGTAGAGTTAGTTAGGCACCTACCAAGTACCTTTTTTTCCTCTGTATTTTTTCCATGTGAAATGGATACTTAAGTTTGTTGTACAGTACACTTTGTGTAAAATCCTAACAAGCAGCTGAAGCCTGAGGTGTGACTGTTACCATTCTCAGGCTGGGAGGCTTTTGGTTTAAAAATTGGTGAAGCTCAAAGGGATTTAATAAGATGGAGTCTACACTTAAGTATTGCGTTTTGGCAGTAGTACTAGGCTTTAAGGCCTGAAAGTTTTTCAGTAGCAGAAATTTAGGGTCCTGAGAATAGCAGAAGCTCCTACACTAGGCAGTAGGCTAAGCTGCTCTTCAACTATTAGACACTTTAAATACTGTAGCATGGAGGAATTTTAAGTTGTGTGACCTTACCTACTCATCTGTAGAAAGACCCAACTACTGCTGCCTTGTCCTCATCATCCCTCCCAGGAGCAAGGGGAACCAACTCACGACCAGTAAATCAGAACTGAATTCCCACTCTCTTCCTGGAACAGGTCAGTTATCATGTGCCACCCCCGACGGCGCACGCGCTTACTCTTAAGAGTCAGACCAAGTATACCGCCATCAACTACACCCAGCAAGCCAACGCTGATAGCATTGCATGTTTCAGTGAGATTCCGCTTGGAAATGGAGCAAGACTGGGCTCTACAGTTCATTAATTTGCGAAGCATATTCAGGTGTCAGGTAGACATTTAAAATACTGTACCCATAGTGCATACTTGCTCTGGGTTTTCCAGTGTAAAAATAAAACCGAAAATTAGTTAGGATAAATATTTATTTTCACATAACATTTCTTAATTGTGAAAAACACAATAGTCTATTCACATGTACACATAAACTTTTGTAATAAATTACATCCAAGAAATTGAGTAATTTTGACCAGGAATAGGAAATTAGAAGTAAATATAGCACTACATTTGCTTTATATTGTCTGTGATTTCAGAATGTTAAGATTAACATTGGAGAATAGCATTTACATTCACACAAGAACAGAGTGACTGTTTTAAAATAAAACCACTCTGAAATACTGAACAGAAATACAGAATGCCATTGAATACACTGATTTCTTAATAGTCTTAAGAGTTGGTCAAGTGAAACTAATACATTTTGATTGTATACATTATCTGTAACAAAGTCAGCAACATATTAAAACACCACCAGCCTGCTTTCGGGACAAACCAGTATTGAAATTCTATACTAACCTTAAAACAACTGGAACCTTACAATTTATCAAGTACACAAAACAAAGCATTTAGCCTTAATGCATCAGCATTTTTTTCCTAAATTTACAAATAGAAACACTGAATTAAATGTAAATCCTTCGTTGTGTCCATTGGATTCTTTTTTTCTCCATAAAAATGGCCTTTAATGGGCTTCGATAATGCTAAGTCAAGTTTAGAACAGTGACCCTATTAGTTTGCAGCAAAATGCAATTATCATTTATGGCTAAAGTTGTAAAACATACACACTCACAAGCACAAAAACATTAGAAGGAATACTTAAAATGTGCTGAATATGAAAAGTTGTTCACATGAGGTCTATGGAAAGACTACCATATTTTGGAAAGCTGGGGAATGTTAAAGCCCTGTAGTTGAGTCATTACAAAGATTACAAGACTGTAATTCTTTTTTGTAGGATTCAAAGTAATAGCATAATAATGAGAGTTAGCTTTCATTTAATAATTTAAAAATTTCTCTTAAAAAAATTTAAAAATCAATTAATTCCAAATAACGCAATAAAACTTTTGCTCCACATCTCTATTAATTCAATACCTAATCTCGCAGTCCTTGTTTTACACAAAAGAACAGCTTGAAGGATCAGGCAGTAACAAAATCCATTATGAAAAATGTCTTTGTAATGGCTTTAAAGCCACATTTTAGTTTGCAATGTTGTTTTTATCTTTTAATCGATATGTACTTGATGGAATAGTGAAGAGCTGTAACAAAACCAACAGCAGGATACCCATTTAAGTATTATACACAACTAATCTCTGAAATTAAGAGGTTTATAGTTGTTAGTAGAGAGAGGACAATATAAATACGCCCTTTATGTGGCTGTATTTTAGGCAATAAAGAGGAAAATCATTGGGCAGGTGATATAACTGCATGTGGGGTATAGTTTGTATCTACAAAATTTTCCCTATTATAAAATAATGGATTGATTAATGACATAATGCAGTTGTTTGCCTACCATGGCAACATTCATACAATACAAGATAAGATAGTGTAATCACAGATTGCATTTTAAGAAATACTGTACCCATGTTTCACATCAAAGGATGCGGTGGTGTTTTTCAACTAAGGTGAGAGAATGTTTTAATATATATATTTTAATATATTTTTAATATATATGACTATGTTCCAGTTACATACAAATTTGAATATTAAATACACTGTATTAAATCAAAGAAAACTTCACAAATACAGAATCTGACCCTGCAATCCTCATTGCAAGAGTAATCCATGACTTCAAAAGGACAGCTTGAGGAGGAAAGGATTGTCCTTGTTAGTTTGTTCACAGGGTCAGATCAGTTGTTACTTTAAAAACTTCTTTAATGTTTGCTTGTCAGTTTGGGTCTCCTGTAATCATTTACTCAAGTTAGGTGATTTCAAAAAAAAAAAAA